CCCTCCCCGACCCCCCGGCCCCGTCCCCTACCAGCTCGGCGGCGAGCCTGGCCGGCCGTCCCGGATCGGAGGGCGCAGACACTGGGAAGTTTTGGGGGAGGGAGGGGCGAGCCTTAAAGGGACCACGACCTCTTCTCGCCGGGGGAGACGGGGGGACCGAGGAGGCACCGCGCCGGATCGGAATGGGAGGAACGCCGAGCTGCCGTGTTCGCTCGGGCTCTGCGTTCCCGCTCACCCTCAGCCCCGCTCTCCACCCTGGGCTGGAAAAAAAGTCCCCAAGTTGCTGTGGTTGACGTGGCAGCTTTCCCCATTTGCCGTGTTTTGGAGATAACGTAGACGCGTTTGTTGCACAGCTGGGGAAGCAGGCTCAGGGGATCCAGTGTGCCACCGCTGCTAAGTGTGTGCATCGCAGCTGATGCAGGGTGATGTCCGGGTGCTTACCGGAGAGCACCGGGGAAGACGCACAGGGCCCGACCCCACGCCTAGGCTCAACTCCCCAGGTGAGGCAGGGACTGTCAAGCTTTAGGACAGCCTGGCCTACATATCTAGACCACACTACGGTCCTGTGACGCTCTCGGAAACCCACCACCTAAAGCTGTTGGTCCTCGGCCTGCCAGGGTCAGAAGGGGGTTATGGGATCACCTTGGGCTGGAGTCACCCACCCTTGTGAGCTGACGGGTGGGTGCTGGGAACTGAACCCCATCCTCTGCAGGAACAAGCGCTCTTAACGGCCGAGCCAGCTCTCCAATCCTGCCCTATGCCTTTGCCTCTTCTCTAAAGGCCTTTGACTCCAATCTTAGCCATTTCAATCCCGTGAGTCTCCAACCCACAGATGTAATCATGGCTCAGAGAAACGGGTGTGGGCATCTGTCCTGTCTCAGAAACTGCCTGTTTTTAATTCCCAAGGGGATAGCCAAGGAGAGAAGGAATGAAAGTGGCAGACAGGAGGAGACTGGCTCGGCCGTGTCACACTGGGGCCGCACTGGGGCCGAAAGGGTTACAAAATGAGTCTGGTTGCTGTTGGCCTACTAAATTGGCTAATCCCCACAGTGGTGCAAGGACAAAGCAAGCTAAGGAGGTCACTGCTTGATGTGGTCCAACCTTTAAACCCTGCCTCGCAGCCAGAACTCGAGGGGTGCCGCCACACCAGCCTATAACCTCTGGTCGTCCCCCACTCCTAAGGAATTGGGGACCAGCCTGAGCTCCATGGGATCCTGTCTTCTCAAGAAACAAAAACAACTTTTAAGAAAAACCAAAGTAATACCGCCAGCAAGACTGGCCAGATGGACAAGTAGAGCTTGGGGCGAGAGCCTGGTGACCTGAATGCCACCCCCAGAACCCAGGAAAAGACTCCGCAAAGCTTTCCCCCAGCCATGGCACTCCCCTCCCCTCCCACACACATGCACACTCAGTAACACGTAAAATGAAAGTAACAATAGAACCCCGTCCCCTGGCCGGGGCTCTGGCTCCACAGTAGACAGCTTGCTAGAGTCCTGCAGGGAGAGCTGGCAGACCTCAGGGGCAGAGCTGCATACATGTAAGGCAGGGAGTCCTTAAACAGCACTACACTGCCGTAAACAAGGAGGGAGATGGCTCAGCCCCTCAGATGACTCACTCACTGCCTTTCCAGAGGACCCCGGTTCAACTCCCAACACCTCTAACTCCATTTCCAGGACTCTGTGCACTCTCCTGGCTTCCTCGGGCACCAGGCACACAGGCCATGCACAGTTCTTCACGCAGGCAAAAACACCCATTATGTATAAGATAATAAAATTAAAAAATATATTTAAATATTTTATAAATCTATCAAAACCTTCTCCTGGCAGTGTCCGGGCAGACAGCTCCAAACAGGTTTCCCCTTGCTCTCTCAGGTTTGTCTTCCTGTTCTGTTTGGTTCTTGTTTATGTATGACAGGCTGACACAGAGTTCTTTATGTGGACGGGCTCATTTTGAACTCATACATATTTCCCTACCTCTGCCTCCAGAACACATGGGGTAGCCCTGGCTGTCCTGGACCCACCAGTAGACCAGGCTGGCCTCACACTCACAGATATCTGCCTTCCTGTTGCCTCCCTGAGTGCTGGGGTTACAGGCTTTCTGTGGGTGTAGTGTCAGGTCTTACAGATCGAGGGCTCAGTCCTGAGTTGGCTTCCTCCCTTCAGTGCCGGTCAGTGACACGCTACACACACGCTACACGCTTCTGTGTTCCTGGTGGACTGCCCATGATATCCCTTCAGCCTATAATAGCTCCTGTCATGGGCCCTTGTTCCCTGGCTGGTGGAGCTTTGGAAGCTGAGGCCTACGTGAGGGACGAGGGCTGCTGGGGGCAGGCCACTTGGACTTTGTCCCTGCTCCCTGCCTTGTCTGCCTCTGATACACACGTGCACCTCTATGAACTGAGGGGCTCCTGAGTGCCTTCTGGCCACGAGGGGGTGGACCCATCTGTAATCCTGAGCCCAAATCAAGCTTTCCTCCTTTAATCTGTATCTGTTGGATATTTTGACTACCGTGATAGAAAAAAGTACAGTGTAGAAATCAGGGGTTCCATCTGTTCTCTTTTCCTCTCTGTTGCTGCGACAAAACACACCAATGAACTGGGGGAGGGGCAGGGGGAGGGTTCATTTCCCTTACAGGAACATAGTCCGTCATGAGGAAAGTCAGGAACTCAAGCAGAAACAGTGGAAGAGTACTGCTCACTGGCTCATGTGGGCTCAGGCTTGGCTTGCTCTCCTATACAGCCCTGGGGCGCTTGCCTAGGGAATGGTGCCTATTGACAGTCAAGATAATCCCCTAGCGTGCCCACAGGCCCGGCTGATCTGGGCCACTTCTCAGGTGACCATGGGCTCCGTCAAACTGACCGACTGCCCAGGAGTATATTTGGCTACGTGTGTGTGTGTGTGTGTTCTCTAGTGGGAACCTAATCACAAGCTACCTGCTGGGCAAGGGGACTACTGCTGAGCCACGCCCCCCAGGAAGCTCAGCTGCTTGGAAGCTCTCCCAGCGCATAAAACCTTCTGAGGTTTTACGAAGGCTGCACGGACAGGATTTCTAACAGACTGGGTGGGAAAGCCCAGAAAAACCCGTCGGTTCAGATTCTTCCGGCCTCCTGTGCGGCATTCCTTGTCCCCTAGGGCAAGGAGCAGGATCTGTGCAAAGAGGCAGGGCCTTGCCGAAGCACCAGGTTAAATTCCCCCAATTTACTCCGCTCAGGAGAATAAGGGGAAAAAAAAAATATTAATGGTGCAAAACCAGCCACAAATGGACTGGAGGTTCGGAACGGATGACACAGGATTTAGGCTTTACCGTTTCACATTTATGCTGTCAACTGCACGTCTCATCACGGTCCCACCCCCAAATTACACTGAGCGATTAAACAGACAACAGACTGCCGGTCTGGCCATTTGGGACAGGTGGGAGATTCACACAGCGAAGTTACAGTGACAGCTGCTGTGGAAGCATACCAGCGTTGTTGCCTTTGAGTTGAGTTACCAAGGGCACACTGCCTGCCTGCCTGGCAGAATTACCTCTTCCTGACGAGAGCCAGGACTCCATGGCAGACTGGAGCTTAGGTGGCCGCTGGCCAGCGCCACCAGCCCCTTTGAACAGCCAGGTAGAGGCATGTTCCTTGAGACGGGAATGGAGCCTAGTTGGCGGCAATCTTAGCGAACAAATCTTAACAGAAATATGTTCTCAGCAAGCCTGAACTGCAGTTATGCCCAAGGCACAACATTTTCCCTACAGTTTCTCACAAGTCTGGTTAGTTCGATATCTGTCTCCAAGACGATTTAGAGGCAGCACTGCTTTAGTTGAGCCCTACTGTGTGCAGCTTAGAATTTCCTAAGCAAGTTTATTGGCGAATTCTTTGTACGGTCGATTTATCACTCAGAGTCTCCTGTGTCGCTGTGACCTATCACCCCAGGAAGTAGGTCAGGGTCATTATTCCAGAATTGTGGACCAAAACATAAACACACATTCGCGCATTCTTTTTGTTTTTTTCCTTGCTTGCTTTATTGAGTCGGGGTGGGGTTTTACTGTGTAGCCCCAAACTGGCTTCTTGCCTTAGCTTTTCAAGGTCTGGGATTAACAGCTGTGCCCTACCATGGCCATTTATATTGTGCCGTCTGTCTGTCTCTCTCTGGTGTCTGTTTATGTGCGTATATGTATGCTGTGCAGGCTGATATTGCTATGTTCTTCAACACTTTTTCTACGTTACCCCCCCACACCCACACCCACACCCTGTTTTTGAGACAGGGTCTCTCTGTGTCACCCTGGCTGTCCTGGAACTCACTCTGTAGACCAGGTTGGCCTCTAGCCCAGAGCTCTGCCTGCCTCTGCCTTCCTGAGTGCTGGGATTAAAAGCGTGTACGACCACCACTTGGCAACATTATGTGTGTGCTTATGTGTATGCCTGTCTGGTGTGTGGACACAGGTCAGAGGACCCAGTTCTCTCCCTTCCACCATGTGGGCTCCACGCCTCAACCCCAACTTGTCAAGCTTAGAAGGAGACGACTTTACTCACTTTGTTTTGTTTGGTTTGGTTTGGTTTTAAGGTTTATTTTATGTATATGAGTGCTGTCTTCATCCACACCAGAAGAGGGCATCAGATTCCATTACCAATGGTCATGAACTGCCATGCGATTGCTGGCAATAAACTTGGGACCTCTGAGAGAGCAGACAGCGCTCTTAACTGCGAAACCACCTCTCCAGCCCTTGCATTTTTTTGGCAGCACCACATTTAATTAGTTTATATGAGTGCTTTGCTTGCGTGTATATATGTGTGTGCCTGGCGCCCATGGAGGTTGGAAGAAGGTGTTGTATCCCCTGGAACTGGAGTGACAGAAGGTGGTCAGCGGCCATGTAGGTGCTGGGAGTTGAACCTGGGTCCTCTGCAAGAGAACAGACAGTGCTCTTAACCACTGAACCATCTCTAGCTCCCGTGGGTTTTTTTTTTTGAGACAAGGTCTCTCTCACTGAAGTTTGCTGTTCTGACGAGACTCGCCGCCCAGGGAGTCAGCTGCCCCCTGACCTCCCCTCCCACCCCCACAGCCTGCCCCTACCTCAGTACAGGGTGTCCCTGTTGCCGTACCAAGGCCCTGAACCCAGTCCTCATGCTTGCCACAACACTTTAACTACCGGGCCTTCTCCCTAGCCTAGCTGGGGTTTGGAGATGTGGTCTTAGAACGTAGCCCAGGCTGGCTTAGCACTTGAGGGAATCCTCCTGCCTCAGCTCTCTAAATGCTGCGGTGGCTGGTAAGCGTGCCTCTTTAGAAGTTTTAAATGCCGAGGCTGTGGTGGTTTGAATGAGAGATGCCCCCACAGGCACGGGTACCGGAACACTTGGCCGGTTTGCTGGCACTGTCTGGGGAAGTTACAGGGCCTTTGTGAGGTGGGGCCTCAATGGGGGAAGTATGTCATTGAGGAAAGGATCCGAGACTTTCATGACCTGTCCTCCCAGTCCTCCGTGCTCTCTGTGGGTGGGTGAGGATGTGACTACTCAGTTTCCTGCTCTGGCTGCCTGATGCCATGCCTCATGCACCACTGTGGACTCTTCTAGAGCCGTAAGCCAAAACAAACCGTTCCTTCCTCATGCCACTTTTGGCCATAGCATTACCAAAGGAACAAGTAATGAATACAGATGCAGTCCAATTTATTTTTTCTTTGACTGCCTTTTCTTCTGCTCTATTTCATGAATCATGTCCAGTCTGTCTGCATGAAGATTTTTCTATGAAACAAAAGAAGAGCCAGCATAAACCTTAATCCCAGGGAGAAGAGGCAGGTGGATCTGTGAGTTAGAGGCCAGCCTGGTCTACAGAGTTCCAGGACAGCCAGGGCTACACAGGGAAACCTCGTCTTGAAAAGAAAAAAGAAGAACCACTCAACGTTTTTCCCACTCCCACACAATTCACACACTTCTGACCCCAGATAAGTGGAGGCCTCCCACACATATATCAAGAAATCCCACAGCCAGTAAAGATAGGTGACCTATAATTTAACCCAATCCTGACATGATCTACCTGGAGGGCTGCCCATCCCACAGATGGTGGGGCTTGGTTCCACAGGCCGCGCCCAGCTCCTGCTGCTGCTGGAGTGTCCGGTTATAAGCTGTCTATCTGGCCAGTGGGCATCCTGATTCCTGCGGGCGCTCCGCCCAGTTCATTTGTTAGGAAGGGTCACGTGGCTCAGGGAAACACTGGGAGGGAAACACTAGGGTATCTTACCAACCTAAGGTGCACACTGCCCAATTTAGGATGGCTTCACTTGTATTTTAAAAATATTTAAGGTTCTTATGTGTCTGGGCGTTTCGCCTGCCTGTATGTCTGTGTGTCACATCTGTGTCTGGTACTAGTGGAGTCCAGAAGAGGGTATTAGAGGCCCCAGAACTGGAGTCACACTGGGTTCGGTGCTGGGTAATTGAATCCACTGCTCTTAACTGCTGAGCTAGCTCTCCAAGCCTCACTTACAATGTGCGAATTCGTGGATGCGTGTGCTTGTGCGTGCATGCGGTGGTAAAACCTAGAGCCTCAAGCATGCAAGGCAAACACTTAACCTCAGGCCACACTCCAGCTCCTCAGTGCTTGACTCCAGGCTGTTGTGCTGAGCCATTCCCACAGCCTTTACTGGTGACTTATAGGTGAGGGCATCATTACTGAGTCAGGCAGGGCCTCAGGTGTCCCAGGCCGGCCTCCATCTCTTGGCCCTCCTACGCCTACCTCCTAAGCGGTGCGATTACAGGCCTGCGCCATTCCCAGTAAACATACTTTTAAATTTTATTATTATTAGCAGTAACCACCTTGGTGTCTTACGACAACAGGAATTTATTTGCTCATAATTCTGAAGGTCAGAGTTTTTTGGGTTTTTGTTGTGGTTTTGGGTTCTGTGTGGCCTTAGCTGTCCTGGACTCACTGTAGACCAGGCTGGCCTCCAACTCACTGAGATCGCCTGCCTCTGCCTCCCTGAGTGCTGGGATTACACTGTTCCATCACACTGGCTTGAAGGTCAGAGTTCTGACATCACTATCTCACAAAAACCAGGGTGTCTGCGGAGTCACATGACTTCTGAGGATGTCGGGGGAGGAGCCTTTGCCCAAGCTGCCCAGTGTCTTACGGTTTCCACATTTTGAGGCTTGTCTTTACTCTCTTTCTTGTTCCCATCAGTTCTCCTTGTGTCCCATATCCTGTGAATATTCTTGGAGCCTCAGACACAATCCCCAGGCCTCTCTTCCTCATTTTACCATCTTTAATAATGGCTGCACAAGCTGGGCCAGGTCAGCTCATATCTTTGATCCCAACACTTGGGAGGCAGAGGCAGAGACAGGCCGATCTCTGAGTTCGAGGCCAGCATGGTCTACAGAGCGAGTTCCAGGACAGCCAGGCTACACAGAGAAACCCTGCCTTGAACAAACAAAACAATAACAATAATATAATAGTAATTATTATTATTATAATGGCTGCGCAAACACTTTTGCCAAATAAGGTAACATCGATGGGTCCCATAGACTAGGGCAGCCATGTTTTCAAGGCTGATAAAAAAAACCTGTTCCAGTGTTTCCTGAACACCTACTGTTTCAGTGCCATGGCGCCCTCATGTTCCTGGCCTCAAGTAATTCCCCCACCTCGTTTTGCCGCATAGCTGGGGACATAGGCTCAGGACATGGCCATACCTCTGCCATCTTCTTGACTACACAGAGGGCAGAAGCATCCAGAATAAACTCCCATCTCAGGTCCTGACAGGTTGTCATTTGATATCTTGACCAGCCAGTTGGTGGTGGCTCACACCTTTAATCCCGGCACTTGGGAGGCAGAGGCAGGTGGATCTCTGTGGGTTTAGACCAACCTGGTCTATACAGTGAGTCCAGGACCGCCAGGGCTACACAGAGAAACCCTGTCTCTAAAAACCAAACAAAACAAATCTGAACCAGGTAAAGTCTCACTGTGTCACTGATGGGATCAGGATTGACATGCCCCAAAGAGATCCAGGTGAGAGGGCTGTGGTTGTAATACTGTTTGGGGGGTTACATTTGCTGGGGAGATCCCCACTGAGCTAACTCCTGGGCAGACCAGAAGGAGGGGAAGGAAGAGTGCTTGGACCTTAGGGAAGGGCTTGTTCTAAGTAGGAACAGCCAGTGTGAAAGGCACAAGGCCCGGCCCCTTTCCCGCCCCACCCTCCGTGCTGACCCAGATGCCTCGAGCATCTTGCTTAAGCAGAGGAGTGGGCCAAAGGTTCGGAAGTGACGGTTCCAATCATCACTGGTCCCCTGTTGCCCATGGCTCCTCAAAGGGCAGATGGGCCTGTGGGGAGAGATGAGAGGCCGTCAGCCGGGCGACGGATCCCAGCCTGTCTTTGAGCTGGATCTCGCACAGGTTGGTCACCTGAGCTGTGGCCTGGGTCTGCTGGTGCAGTGTCCTCCTTCGGTGCCACTGGCGCAGGGAGTCCCGGGCCTCCGAGCTCAGCCCCTGGGGCGCGCGGCCAGCCTCTGGCTGGTAGTGAGCGATGTGGTAGAGAGCCCCAAACCACGTGGTAAGGTAGTACCCAGCTGGGGGAGAGAAGGCGAGATCATCATGGCCCCTGTGGGCTTCAGAGACCCAGGAGGCTGGGGGTCGCCGAGGGTGCCTCCTTCCCAGTGTCTGGGCATGGGGGGGGGGGGGGGGCAGGAGCTCACCTTCTCCTCGCAGCGACTCCGGATCTAAGAGCTCCATAAGGAACTCCACATCCAGCTGCGTCTCCCCAATGTGTGGACTCCAGATCAGCTCCTCCGTCAGGGCGGGCAAAAAGGCGTCCGCCCCCAGGGGCTCTAGGGAAGCCAGAGGACAGGCCATACGCTTGGCAGGGTGCACACAGACACGGGCCTTCGGGTCCCCGGGCCTGCGTGGGCGCCTGCCACCAGAGGGGGCCACCCTTCCCCTGGACGTGGGTGCCCACCATTAAACCACTCTAGGTCCAGAGATCCTTTACCTTCCTTCTCGCCGCCAGCCAGGCCCGCGTAGACGTCGCTGCACACCGCCAGCAGCAGCGCCACCTTGCGGCGCGGGGCGCACGCGGAGTGCAAGTGCGCCAGGCGCGCGTGGATCCGGCTCCGCAGGGCGGGGGCGGGGCCGTGTCCCTCGGGCCCCGCCCCGGCCCTCAGGGCTATCTGGCGCCGGCGCAGCCTCCGCAGCTCCTGGGCTCTGAGAGTTCGGAGTTTGGTCCACAGGGCGGGCTTCAGGGGCTCCAGAACCGCCCGACACAGGGCCACCTCCACAGCGGGGCCTGCGGCATTGAGGACAACGACACCGTCGCGACCCACCCTGTTCCCTAGTCGCCCTGTCCCCTACCAGTGTGGACAGGGTTAGGGGGCTGGGGGACTGCAGGAACACGTCCGAGGATGGGGGGCGGGGTCCTAGCAGACAGTGCGCCTGTTGCGTGGAACTGAGAAGCAGTGGCTACGCAAGAGCGTGCTTGCTCGTGGGGAGTCAGAAATGTGGATGTGAACACACACAAGGCCGAGTCGTGGTACCCCCAAACCTTGGTTACTTTCCCTCCATTTCCCATTACCAAGATCCTGGTCCTGAGGAGCCCTAGGTCCCCTGTTCCCAAAGACAGCTCTGACGTCGGGGTCTTTTGCCAGGTAGTTCTGGAGGTCAGTGAGGAGCTGGCGCACATCCTGAAGCAGCTCTGTGGCCGGGTCCCCGGCCTTGTAGGGATTTCCACAATCTGAGACGAGGCGTGCCTGAAGGCATCGGTACTGCCTGGCTACATAGCTGCTCCTGGCCCTGGCCAGAGCACGGATGTGGGCGGTGAGCAAATCCTCGCGGCCTTCCTCTTCATCTCTGTAGTTTTCATTGCTCACTTCCTCCTCCCCTTCCACCACACGAGCTAGAGCAGGCCTAAGAAAGCTCACTTGGGCTCCAGGATGGCGCTCCTGGAGGTCAGGATGATGCACTTCCTGTCCAGTAGGGTGAACTTCCGGTTTCGGTGGCTCTTCCACCCAGGAGACCCGGTGTGGGGTGGGATTCCTGGGGGCTGGATGTGAGAAGCAGGCTGGGGCTCTAATTTCAGTAGCATCCATTCCCTCATCCCTCTGGGTACCCAGGCCCTGCCCAGCTGACCTAGACTGTGTATCTGCTGAGTCTGTGGCTCCGTTTGCTGTGGCGGCTGCTCTGCTCCCCAGCTTCCGTGGGTCTCCAGGTAGAGCTGGTTCACTACAGACAGCACCCTCCCTGAGGTGTCCACCTGGACGCAGCCAAGTCGCAGAGGATCTGAGGGCCAGCACAAGACAGAGTGTCCCCGGTGTGCAGGGGGCACGGGAGGCTTCGTCCCCAGCCCTCCTCACTCATGACCAAGGACGCAGGCCTCTCAGCTTCCACGGCTTGCTTGCGGCTCTGGCCTGTTAGGACCCAGAGCTGATCTCATCCCCTACCAACTTTGCTGCTGCCCTTGTCTCCTGCTCCTGCCCCTTCTCCTACCCCTCCTTCTCTGTCTCTTCTTTTTCTTCTTTTTTATGTTTTTTAAAAACAGGGTTTCTCTGGGTAGCCCTGGCCGTCCTGGAACTCACGCTGTAGAACGGGCTGGCCTCGAACTCACAGAGCTCCGCCTGCCTCAGCCTCCCGAGTGCTGGGATCACGGGCATGAGCCACCACCACCACTGTTTCTTTTCCTAGCTGTCCCACTCCCAGCTTCATCTTTTTTCACATCCAGTTATCTGGTCCTTTAGAGCCAGCCTCTCTGGACCCAAAAGGCCAGCAAGCTGACCTGTCCGTCCCCGGAGCAGGGCGTGCCCACCTGATTGCGCGTCTCCAGGTCCTACAGCTGGAGTGGGTAAGAGCAGTGTCCTTGGCAAAACGTCCCTGAGGATGAAGGGAAACCTTGGTATGGATGGGCTACCTCAGGGAAAGGCCCCCACTGCCCCTCTGCCAGATGACCCGTACCTGCTGGCTGCCAGAAAGGCCAGGAGGTGGGGAAGGTCTGGCATGAAGAGGTTGGAGGATTCCAGGGCTACACCTGGGGAGAGGAAGGGGAGAGGTTACAGGGCTGGCCATTAGCTACCTCCACCGTACCCCTGTGACTCAGCCTCCCCACACCCCTCCCGCCCACCTCCACCTCTCAGCAGGGAATCTCTTCACCCCTGCACTCCTCCCTCAGAGAGGCAAAGTTTCCATCCCCGGGAGTTGACACCGTTTCCTCTCTTGATGTTTGCATCCCCGGTCTGACACCAAATAGGAGCAAATAGGAGTCCTCAAAAATGTCTTCAGGATGTTTTGTTTTGTTGAGACAGGTTCTCACTGTTTCTGGTAGGCCAGCCTTGTCTACAGAGTGAGTTCCAGGACAGCCAGGGCTACACAGAGAAACCCTGACTTGAAAAACCATAAAAAAGAGGAAGAGGAGGAGGCACAGCTGCCGTGTTAGGAGGGGAGGAGAACACCTCTGGGTCCTGACAAGACAGAGCCGGAGGCCCTGGGAGCCAGGAGGCCTGCATTCTTGGCCCTGGATGAGGAAGGCCGGACAGAGCCTACAGGTGGCCCCTGCATACCCGGGATGCTTTGTCTCTTTGGCTGACCCTCGGGTCCTCTGAGATCTGCTGGCCTGGAGCTCACTGCGTAGACCAGGTTGGCCTCAAAACTTGTGGCAATCTTTATGCTTGAGAATACGGTCCTGAGCCACCATGCCAGGCCTAGGTTTCTTCCTTTTTGTCTTTGTTCTTTTTGAGACAGGGTTTTGCTATGTAACCCAAGCCAGCCCTGATGTTTATATGTAGCCCAGGCTAGACTTCAATTCTTTTTTTAAAAAATTCTGTTTTAAAATTGTATTTATGTGTATGGGTGTTTTGCCTGCATTTGTCTGTGTACTGTATTTGTGCCCACAGAGGCAAGAAGAGGGCACTGGATTCCCTGGGACTGTGGTTACAGGGGGGTTTGAGCCATCTGACATGGGTGCTGGGATCCCAACTTAAGGGCCTCTGGAACAGTGTCCATTGCTCTTAACCATGGACCCATCACTCCACCCCAGATCTTGATTTTTTTTTTTTTTTTTTTTTTTTTTTTTTGAGACAGGGTTCTCTGTGCAGCCCTGGCTGTCCTGGATTCCCTCTGTAAACCAGGCTGGCCTGGAACTCATAGGAATCCCCCTGCCTCTGCCTCCCTGAGTGCTGGGATCACAGGCGTGCGCCTGGCTAGACCTTGAATTCTTGACCCTTTTCCTGGAGGCTGTCAAGGCTGGAGAGCCAGTCGACCTCTGGAGGAAGAACACTCCTGCAGGAAGGACAGTACCAACGCCCTGCAGCTCGGTTGGCTGGAACAGGGGCACGGCCTAGCAGTGAGTGAGGGCCAGCAGCGAGTGCGAGAGAGCAAGCGGAACCAGGCAGCCCCACCGAGGCCACTGATGACCTCGTAGCTTTGTAGTGAGGACGTTAGCAGCCCTCTCCATGGTTGGGGGCAGGGATGGGCAACGTGGAATCCGTGTGTGAAAAGACCTGCTTGCTTCGCTCAGCATGGATTGTAAGGAAAGGGAAGCTGCAGAGACACCGGAGGAGAGAGAAGAGGCTGCCGCAGTGGCCTTGGAGAGAAGTGATGGGCGAGCTCAGACTAAGTGAGGGAGGCAGGTGGGACTGGAGAGACTCAAGGGCTATTTGAGGATCAAATCTGGAGCCATTTGCTGTGTGGATGACTGAGAATCCGGGACAGGTACCTCACCTCCTGGAACCTTCCGAATCGGATAGGTGTTGATGTCTGCTGACGAGGGTCCCGCCTTCAGCATCAAGACCTGGCTAGGACCGTGTCCTACGACCAGGAAGCTCTGGAGAGGAGGGGTGGGGCAAAAGTCAGCTCGCTGCAGTCATGTGCAGAGAAGGCTCTTCGTGGTGCCACTGTCCCTTGGGACAGGGGTTCTCCACCCTCCTAATGCTGGGACCCTTTAATACAGTTCCCCCATGGTGTGGTGACCCCAAACATAACATTATTTTTGTTGCTACTCCATAGCTGTAATTCTGCTACCATTATGAATTGTATTCCAAACGTCTGATCTGTGACCCCTGTGTAAAATCTGTTGTACCCCCAAAGGGGCTGCAGCCCACAGGTTGTGAATCGCTGCTTTAGGGAACCCCTCTCTCAGTTCCTGTGGGTGGGACCCTAGGGGGTGAGGCCAGGAATAGACCACCAGTAGGATGGCTGCTGCCTGGCTGGTTGCCTAAGCCTAACTCATGAGCATCTGCCGTGGGATTTTTGCTGGCGATTTTTGATCTGTGTTTGTTTGTGGGCTTGCCCGCCCCCCCCCCCCGCCACTCTTCTGATGATTGAACCCAGGATCTTTTCACATGAAAGCCTTAGGCCCCTGAGCTACATCCCCAGTGCTCTTTAAAACCTTTCCTCTTCCCCCAAACCCCCAAACAGGGTTTTACTACACAGCACAGGTTTAGCCTCAAATTCATGATTCTTGTCCTTCAGTCTCCCAGATCCTGGGATTACAGGCACATTCCATACACTTAGCTTGAGAGAATTCTTTTTTGTTTGTTTGTTTGTTTATTTGCTCGTTGTTTTTCCAGACTGGGTTTCTCTGTGTGGCCTCGGCTGTCCTGGACTTGCTTTGTAGACCAGGCTGGCCTCCAACACACAGAGCTCCGCCTGCCTCTGCCTCCCTGAGCGCTGGGATTACAGATGTGTTCCACATCTGCTTTTGAGAGAATCCTTTGGAAAAAGCTAGCCCCCTATTTTGCAAGGACGTAAACCCAGGGATATTTGCTCACTGTGTAAGAAATGCTGCTCATCACTGAGCCACATCCCTGGCTCCAGACATCTTTACTGGGGCTGTTAGGCAAGTGGGACATAGCACCGACAGCCATCTTAACTATCCCAAGCATAGTGCCCGCTTGAGAGGGCAGCTATGGCTTGCTAATTCTTCCTGCCTGTCGTCTCCAAATTTATCTTACATTTCCCTGAAGAATTAATTAATATCAATTAATTAATTAACACTTTGACAGGGTCTCAATGTAGCCCAGGCTGGCCTTGAACTCACTAAGTAGCCAAAACTGTCCTTGAACACCTGATCCTCCTGAGACTGACTCCTTAATGAGACGACGACAGGCATTGCCACCAGGCACGCCCCTGTGGAATGTCTTGTTCAAGGCAGTAGTATACTGAGCTATAGGAAATAATAGAGACAGGGCTTGGGCGTTGGCAACTGTCCTTCCAGCACTGGGAAGCTGAGGCAGGAGGATGATGGGTTCCAGGATAGCCTGGTGGCATAGTGCTGCTGGCTCGGGCACAGGTCCTCAGTCCTGTATAACTCCCAAGTGAGCTTGTAAAGTGTGCTCCCTGGCCCTTGCCGTGTGACTTCCTCCGGTCAAAGGCACGTGGCGCCTCTCTTATTCCTGCCTGGGATGCACCCCAGGTAAGACAAACTCAGAGACCCGCACAACAGCCAGCCCTGACGTCCCGGGCTGCTGGCCTCCCACTGCTGGAAGGACAAACCAGATTGTGACGCCACCACAGGACAGGCCTGCAGATTTCGCTCAGGTGGTGGAATGCCTTCCCCGAAAGCTCGAAGCCTTGGGTTCAGTCCCCAGCTGCATATGGTGGGTGTGATCGAGTACACACACCTGCAATCTTACACACACACGCTCTCGCGCGCACACATGCGTAATCTCTGTACTCAGGGGATGGACAGACGAGAGGGTCAGGAATTTAAGGTCAGCCTCTGCCACACAGGGAGCTGGGGACCATCCTGGACTGTACAAACCGTTTCCTAGACAAACTCCTCAGTTTTGGGTTAGCCTGGCTTGTGTTGTTAGCCAGGCCGGCAGGGGGAAGGTCAGAAGTGACCCCGGCTCAGAGTACTCACCCCCAGCGGCCACAGCTGCAGAAAGACCTTGGCGCGCTGAACATCCAGCTCTGGGACCCGCCACACCCTCTGCGTCCTCTGCAGTCGAAGAAGCGGTTCTGGGCTGCTGAGGACCCCTAGTGGGCTCTCGCCTGCTCCATCTAAAAGTCGAGCCAGCCTGGGATGGACACGTTCCAGGAGGTCAAGGATCATAGTGGGCATTGGTCACTGAGGAGGGGCCCAAGGGGCAGGGATAGCCCAGGAAGAAACGCTGGAGCAGGGGGATTGCTCAGCGGGGCTTTGCCCAGAGCCAACCTGCAGCCTCACCTGTCCCCCGAAGTAGGGGCTGCAGAGACCATGTCTGGCTGGGCTATCCGCATGCTGCCGGGCACCAGGGAGCCATGCTCTGACCTCTGGCATGGAGAAAGACAAGTAAAGGTGCTCCAGCTGGGGCAGGGGGTGCTGATGTTTCAGTCCTGTGACACCTGACTCGGAGATCCTACCTGATCACCATGGACCTCAAAAGTCTCCAGAAACACCATGGACTATCCCCCCTCCCCCTTCCCCCCCCCCCGGCTTTTCCTTTTTTTTTTTTTTTTTTTTTTTTGAGACAGCTCAGACTAGCTTGGACCGGTTTGTAGTTGAGGCTGGCCCCAAACTCATAGCAAGCCTCCTGCTTCAACCTCCGGAGCGCTGAGCTAATAGGCACAAGCCACACCCTGCTTGGCTGGGGCGGTTGTGACATTCTTCAGCGGTTGAGCGGCAGACAAAGACCAAAGGCCCATGGGTGGGGCAGAGCAGTCCCAACAGCAGCTTCCAGAGCAGAGGGGGATATTCCAAGATCTTCACGGGGCTATGTGCAGCCAAGGAAGTGTATGCCAACTGGATAAGCGCCCTGTTAAAACCCAGCGCCTGCCACAGTTCCGGGCTCACAGGAGGCACTCCATCCACTGTCCAGATGCAGTGTGACACTCTCCACCGTTCCCAGACTCCAGGAGCCCTGGCACCTTTGCCCACATTTGATAGAGGAGCCCTGGCACCCTCGCCCACATTTGATTACTTTTTTTTTTTTCTGTTTTGAAGATGGCTCTCCCTATGGAGATCTGGTTGTTTTGGAACTCTCTATGTAGACCAGGTTGGCCTCAGACTCCCAGACGTTCTCCTGCCTCTGCCTCTCAAGTGCTGGGATTAGAGACGTGCACCACCATGCCCATCCTTGACAATTTTAATTCTAAACATGCAGAAGAGTTGAATTTTCTAGAGCCCGTCATATGCCCAGTATCTGGATTCTCCTGTGAAAAACTCACTCATCTCACATTGGAGCTATCCCTTTATCTGTCGAACCTGAACGTTTCCTCCAGTTTGAGATGGGGCCTCGTGTGGCCCAGGCCTGTCTCATACTTGCTGTGTGTTGTACTCTTGATCTTCCCACCTGCACTTCCCATGCTCTGGCATTACAGGCATGACAATGCTCACTATACCTGGCTCTTCACCAAGAAGGGAGCCTTTCAGGGATTATCAACTTGGGGTGAGCCCTTTTGGATATTTCCCCCACAACACCCTCAGGAGTAGGGACTGTGGCTCTGAAGAGAGACCATTCATCCATCTGCCTTCCCATCATCTCTCCATCCTCCCCCTCACGCCTCATCTTTCCACCTAAATTATTCAGCCTAGGCCTCGCCTCAGGTGGCTGGCGTGGGAGGAGGGCTGGCTGAGAAGCTGGCTAGGCCTATTCTGAAGGTTCCATTTCTGTGGGGGTATTGTGTGCAAGCCAGATAAGTAACAGCTATGGAAGTCAATTAGCTGCCAACTGGCAGCCTCAGGTGTCAGGGGGATGGGGGCAGCCACACCTCAGGGGTAAACAGAGAAGAGGGTGAAAAGTGAAAAGGGGAAGGCGGGTGCTTCCCCCCCTCCAGGACCCTTGGGAGGAGAGCAGACATGGTGGTGCTGGGCAGGGCTGGTTGGAGGCAGCTGTGGGTGTGGAGCCAGATGCTGGGTCTCTGGGGGCCCTACCTGTTCCGAGGAAAGCCTGAGCAGCAGAAGCGAAAGTTCTCTAGAGAGGAAGCCAGGCAGGCAGGGGAAGAGGCGGGGCTGGGGGCATCTGAAATCACCTTCCTCTCTTTCCGGGGCTCCATTTTAGGCGGAGTGGACCTCTGGCAGGCTGAGAGCCAGGGTGAGGAGTCACCAGGCCACCCTCTCCAGAGGGAATGCTGTCCCACTCACCACTCCTAAGATCCCAGAGCCACAAATAGTCTGCTGTCTTTATGGTCGCTTCCTCCCCACCCAGCCTCCTCAGGTACCCCGTAATGGAAGTAGAGGCCACACAGCTCTGTTGCTTTGTTTTCGTCTTTAATTTGTTTCCAGTACACAGGTCTCCTGCTCATCCCCCACTGGCTGGCAAGTGGGTCCCCAGGAAAGGAAGACCAGCACCTACTTTGTTGGAGGCAGAGTTGGGGGGCTTCAGGCTTAGAGATCGCACAGGCCCCACCCCTCGGGGAAGTTCTACTTGGTGGGTCCAGCTCCTTTGAAGGGTAGGTTAGTTTGACTTAGCCACAGGCCCTCTGAGAATAGAGAAATGCCTTCTGGCACAGTTAGGAGTTTGGGGGTAACCTGATCTCCGGGAGCAATTAGAGGTTAGGGGAGGTTGCTTCTGGCCCCGGGGGGGGGGGGGGTTAGAGGCTGTGTGTGGGCTGTTAGAGATGGGCTGCACAGGCCTCAGCCCTCAGGTCTATTAGAATTTTCTGGGACTGAGTTGGGGAACCTGGTCTCAAGAACGTGGTTATGAGAGATGGATTCCCGAGCCCACACAAGCTGTGTGTTAAGGGACCAGTGCCGGTTGGGACTCCGCTGTCTTTCTTGGGAGGCGGTGGTCACTGGTGCTCCTCCCTCTCTCTGGTCCTGGACGCCTCCTTGGCAGGAGGTGGGGACTTTTTAGGGGAGGTGGTGGTGCCGGGGTTGGGGGCCTGTGGCCCTGACTGGGCGTCTATACTGGCGTGCTCCCTCTGGACAAGGTCTTCCAGCTCCTTCTGCAGGGGCAAAGTTCCCAGGAGTCAGAGGTTTCCATACATCCCCATGGGACGGCTGGGACTGCGCTCAGGGTGGGCTGGGTGGCCCATTCCTCACCTTCCATCCCAGGAGGTCAGCGAGGGCCAGGCAGCCTTGGTCGCAGTCACCTAGCCAGGCCACGTCCCTGCGGTGTGATCGGGAGTGAGACGGGCTGAGGCCTGGCCAGCCTGCCCGTCCCAAGCTCCTTCCCCACCTGGGCCCTCACCTGTAAGCCTTCTTGGAGTCGAAATCCATGCCACCTCCCAAGCCCATCATCATGCCAAGGAAGGGATCCGTCTGTGGGGAGAGGACAGCAAAGGGCACGCACAGCCCCTGAGCCACGAGACCTGGCATGTGCTCATTTCCAAGACAGGGGTTCTCTGTGTAGCCCTGGAACTCACTCTGTAAATCAGGCTGGCCTCAAACTCAAAGATCTGCCTGCTTCTGTCTCCTGCGTGCTGGGATTAAAGACGTGCACCACCAACCACGCCTATATTTTTCTATTAACGTGTGCGTCTGTGTATGTACACGTATGGACCGAGAGCCCGGGCCAGAGGCCAGCTATACACACTGCTTCTTCGGAGCTAGTCACAGTTTATTTGTAAATTTTTGCTTTGTGTGTGTGTGTGTGGTCCTGTCTGATATGGAACTCACTATGTAGGCCGGGCTGGTCTCAAACTCAGAGATTCACCTGCCTCTGCCTCCCGAGTGCTGGAAGTAAAGATGACTGCCACTACGCCTGGCTTACACTTTTTTTAAAAAAAATAAAGATTTACTTATTTATTTATGTTTTTCAAGACAGGGTTTCTCTGTGTGGCCTTTGCTGTTCTAGAACTTGCTCTGTAGACTAGGCTGGCCTCAAACTCAGAGATCTGCCTGCCTCTGCATCCCAAGAGAAAGACATTGTGTGTGCATGTTTCTCTGTGTGTGTGTGTGTGTGTGTCCTTTGGGTGTGGGTGCTCAGGGAGGACAGAAAAGGTGTCAGATCCCCAGTTAAAGGCACTTATGAGCCTCTTGACATGGGCCTGGGAAATGAACTCAGGACCTCTGGAAGAACAGGAAGTGCTCTTAACCACTGAGCCATCTACTCCAGTCCAAAATAATTGTTTTTGATTTTTTTTTTCTTCAGGCAGTGCTGAGGATTGAACCCAGGGCCTTGTATATGCCACTCTGCCACTGTTTATCCTCAGCACAAACACATTCTTTTTGAGACAAGGTTTCTCAGTTGGCCTGGATCTCACGAGGTCAGACTGGCTGTCCAGCGAGCCTCAGGGACCCACCAATCTTTGACTCTGCATTGTCAGATACATGCCCCCGTGCCTGACTGTTTCTGTGGGCGCTGGAGTTAACTCAGGCCTTCATGAGACAAGCAAGAGACAAGCAACCTATGCTACTTCAAAACAAGTAACAGCCAGTGTGTGGGTGTAGGCCTATCTTCCCAGAACGTGGAAGGCAAAGGCAGTAGCTTCAGGGTTCCAGGTCACCTTCGGTTACAGTGTGTTTGAGAGGACAGGGCCTCATGATAGCCTGTCCAAGTTCACACTGTCTCGCACCTCAGGTCCACACAGCTCAGCAACTCCAGGATGTGTCTGCTCTACCCACGCTCTGCCACTTCAGATGAGGGAGTTGACAGTCCCCAGGTTCTGATCTGTGGCAGGGCTCTAGAATGTTAATGCCTGGACTGCACATTGGTCTCCTGGGTCCCAGGAAGCACTGGGGCTTCATCGGGTTCAAGGCATGGTTCTGTCATTTGCTCAAAGGAACCCAGAGTGCCACAGCGGCCTGTGGTGTCAGGCTGGCCCAGCGCACAAGCCCATATTCTCCAGGCCAAACTGGCAAACCTAAAGCACTGATGCTCTGCAGGCAGGCCACACTGACACCGGTCGTGTCTCATGGGGAGGTGGTGACACGGGGCAGGGAGCAGAGGGAGAGGGAAGCTGAGGCAGGCTCACCTGGCCTGTCTTTTCCTTGTTGATGAGCAGGCGTGGCGTGGAGAGCGGCGCCCTGAAATGAGGAGCTGGGATTCCGGAGCCGCCCTGGTGCCCTGTTCCCGGCTGGCCCCCAGCCCTAGTCCCTCAACTTACTTGCTGATGAGGGAGGCAAAGGGCTGCACCTGCAGGGAGGTGCCCATGATGATGAGGAGGTCCACCTTGGAGAAGTCCTGTGGGGAGTGGCCAGCATGGACTTGGACCCCACTGCCTTGGCTTTGTCCCCCACCTCCCCTCCAGCCCCACAGTCCACAGGGTAGAGCCACACTTACTGACTGCATGCAGGAGAAGAAGCGCGATGGGAGATTCTCACCGAAAAACACGATGTCTGAGGTAGAAACAGAGGGACACAGGGACAGAGGAGGCATGGGAGACAGCTAGAACAGGCAGGAGTTGGGGCTCGGGCCCTCTGAGGCCTAAGGCGGACTAACACCCAACCTCTGCAGGACAGTAGGGAACAGGACAGGCAACAGAGGTGGCCAGACACAGGGCGTGTGGGGGCCAGTGGAGGAAAAGGGTCCCAACTCCAGCCATACCCCCACCAGGCCTTGGCCCTGGGCTCACCAGGCTTTACCACACTCTGACATTTCTCACACTTGGGAGTTGCTTCTGAGAAGATCTTCTCTGGGTGAAAAAGAGGGGAGAGAGAGGTGTGAGGCCTCCCCAAGGCTGGAGCAGCCCTCCTCTGTCAACAGAAGTGCAGCCCAGGCATGTGGCCGTGCTGTATGCCACGAAGCCTGCTTTGGGGAGAATTCAGGAGGACTGTGAGTTCATGGCAGCCTTGGTTACACAGCAAGACCGTGTCAAAAAACTGAGAGCTGGGGCAAATGGCTCAGTGTGTAAAGGCAGTTGCTGCCAAGCCTGATGACCTGAGCTCAGTCCCCAGATGCTAAAATGAGAGAAACACTCCTGCACATTGTCCTTTGACACCCATAGGTGTGCTATGGACGTACACACCTACACACACACAAAGGCAAACACAAATAAATGTGAAAATATAACCAACCCCAAGAGTTAAGGGTGTAGCTCAATGATGGAACATTGTGGGACTTGGGGCATGATTCAGCAATAGAACACTGCCCCAGAATTCCCCAGTGAGGGGCTGGGGTGTGGCTCAGTGGAGAGCCCCTGCCTAGAATCCCCCAGTGAGGGGCTGGGGTGTGGCTCAGTGGTGGAGCCCCTGCCTAGAAGCCTCTAGTGAGGGCTGGGGTGTGGTCCTGTAGTAGACCACATGACCAAATCCCTCAGTCTAATCCCCAGCACCACAAAACAAACAGCACACCCTAGCACTCCCGGGATTTCCTGGGACGCCCTTCCTGCTCATCAGAGAAGAGCTCCCTTCTGGAGAGCTGCGCCCTTTACCTGCAGGCATCCGGGGAGCTGCTCCCAGCAGCACTGCCGACAGCTAGTGAATGAGAAGGGGAACAGAGGAGCAAAACCACCGGCCCCTGACAGGCACCCCTGGACTCCACCAGACCCCCATCTGGGGAACGGGAGACAAGTCCTTCCAATGGGAGTTGAGGACAATCCTATCTGCCCCTGGGTCAGGAAAGGACATACAGATAATCTTGGGGTGGAGCCAACCCCAAGGCCATCCTGCCTTCCACCCGGTGACAGACTCCTCCAGACTAACTACCCCTGTGACAACTGCACTCCTTATTGCTTTTGGATCTGTCACTTGCAGCCCACAGAACGGGAACTCGCTGGCTCAGCCATTCAGAAAGTGGCCATACCCAGAGTGGCCACTCGGCCACCACTGAGGCTATTTCTGCAAACAGCACGCTGTTCTGTGGTAGATGCAGTTTCACAAGGACATAAAGGGGGTGATGTCCATTGTCCGTCCCACCCAGCTGCTCGGGCTGCTCAGGAACCCTCCGTCTGGGGGCAGCTGGCTGGCATTCTGTCAGAAAGGCCACCTTCCAGGCTCCTGCCACAAAGGCTACAGCTGTTCTGACCTCAAGGGAACACCAGAGGCTTTGTGAAGTCAGCATGAAGAATGCAGAAACGGCTTCCCAGAGTGACAGCGCAGCTTCAGCTCAGCACAATGGCTGCCAGAAACTGGCTGGTGCGGCGCGGTGGGGCGTGGAGACTGGCGTGAACGGGGACAGCGACAGCAGTGGCATTAGTGAGCACTGTCATGTGTGTGGCCGCACTCGTCGGCAGGACTCACCCAGCTGTCCTCTCTGCAAGCTCCTCTTGCACTATCGATATGGAAGTCTAAGCTACATGGGACTTACACAGTTTAGTGCTATTTTTAAATTTTATTTTATTTTTGTCATGTAGGCAAGCCTGGCCGGAACTTGCTGTGTAGCCAAGGCTAGTCCTGAACTCCTGATCCTCCTGTCTCTATCTCCCAAACAACAGGCTAATAGGCATATGCCATGGCTGCTGATGTGACTTTTACAATTGAAATCAACAAAAATTAAAATCAAAGATGTTGTCTTTAAAAAAAAAAAAAGGAGAAGAAGAAGAAAACTGTTGTGGGCCAGCGAGATGGTTCAGAAGGCAAAGCCCATCTTCAAGCCTGGGACCCACATGCTGGAAGCAGAGACTGACTCTTTGGTTCACGGGGCCCATATCTAGGGCTCAGTGGACCCATGGGACAAGCAGCGCCATATTGGATGTGACACACGTTCCTGTCATTTCAGAAGGCTCCACTGCGCAGTGCTGTCCTCAGGCTATAGCTGTGCTGCCCTGATGTAAGGGCTCTCACCTAAGACGGTGAAACACCCCAGAGCGCGCAGAGCTGGGCGCTCACGACTGCACAGCAGCTGTGGGGCGGGGGGGGGGGGGATCTACAAGGATCTGTGTGCGGCTGTGTGGGCAGCAGGGGAGCAAAGACGTGCTCACCCCCAGCCCTCCGGGCTTCTACAGCCACCGTAACAGGCAAGACGGCGGAGCTCGGGGGCACTCGCCTGCGATCTCAGCAGTGGGGACACTGAGGCAGAGGTGCAAGCCTGAGGCCAGCCTGGGCCACACAGCGAACCCTAGCCGCAAAAGAAACCCACCAACTCACTGACTGGCAAGAGCAGACGGGACACACTGGTGTACAACCACTTGGAGACCTGGCTATGGCCTGAACAAGGAGTGGGGGGGGGGGGCGTGTGCTTGCACACGTGTGTGCGCACACGCGCGCGTGCGCGAGTGCAGCCTCACCTTTCATCCAGCTCAGGGAGTACTCCTTCCGGCAGGAGGGGCTGACGCAGTGTGACGTGTAGAAGGTGCCGTGGGCCTCCACCAGGTCCTGGGGCTCCAGCCCCGCCACTCGCTCCAGCGTGTCTATGTTCTGTTGGGGGAGAGGGAGGGAAGGTCAGGAAGAAGACCAGTCCTCTTGGGCTCTAAGAGGTGGGACTGCGGGGGAGGGGGAGGATGAGAGTTGGGGCCAGGCTCAAGTGTCAAGTGACAAGGCCAACCCCACTGCCGTCAGCAGCCCCGGGTGGCGTTCCTCTGTACACTTGGGTTTTTTCTTTCCTCTTCGATTTTTCTGAGAAGTTCTTTGGTTGGAGAGTCACACACTTCCCCGCCATCGGCCACAAATGTGCTCAAATGAATGCACCCCTTGGTGTCTCCCAGAAGTGGCGCTCTGGTGCGGAGCCCCACCTGAGCAGCTTGTATGCGGCAGCTCTGGCCGAACATTAACAGAAGTAGAAGGAGTCAGGCCAGAAGCGAGGGTGGATGGTGCAAGCTCTGCCCTTGGCGGCCAAGGCAGGATGACCGCTCTAAGTTTGAGGTCAGCTGGCGCTACAAGCTAGTGCCCGGCCAGCCAGGGCCACACCGGAGGACCCTGCCTCAAAAACCTACTAAATTAAATGAGCAATAAATAGATAAAGCCAGGCATGGTATATCATGCCTGTAAGTCTAGGTTGTTCCAAATCTAGCAAATCTAGCTAGTAGATTTACAAGTGTAGCTCGATTTACACAGTGAGCTCCAGGCAAGCCTGGAGACAAGAATGAGAGCTGTCTTGACAAAAACAATAAAGGGCTGACAAGATGGCTCATCAGGTAATGGCATTTGCCACCAACCTAACAACCCAGTTTCGATCCCTGGAAACCACCTGGTACAAGGAAATCTCCCTCAAGCTGTCCTCTGAACTCTGAGCTCACACTAAGTAAACATAATAAAAATTAAAAATAAATACACTTTCCCTCATGAAGGGGTAGGCTGCCGCCTCTACCCCACATCTGCACAATAGAGCTGGACTGAGGAACAAGCCTGTTATCTCAGCCACAAGGAAGGTGGGACAGAGGACCACAAGTTCAAGGCCTGCCTGGGCGCCTGGTTCTGCAGCAGAGCATTTGCCTAGGGAGGGGCTGGGGTGTGTTAGCGGTTGAGCACTTCCCCAGCACACAGGAAACTCTGGGGCTTATCACAGGACTGCCTCTTTCCCCCCAAAAAAAAGGAAAAAAAGAAAAAGATTACTCCTCAGCTTTTAAAAAGCATGGGGCTGGGGGCTGGAGAGATGGCTCAGAGGTTAAGAATACTGGCTGTTCTTCCAAAGGTCCTGAGTTCAATTCCCAGCAACCACATGGTGGCTCACAACCATCTATAGTGAGATCTGGTACACAGACAGAATGATGTATAAAGAATAAATAAAAAAAAAAAAAAAAAAAAAAAGGCACGGGGCTGCTGAGGTGTGAGCACCGAAAGCTCCCCAGACAGGAGGCCGAGTGGAAAGGAGGCACGTGGAGAGCGTGCTGTCAAGTCCGTTATACAACTTGGAAGCTCTGGAGCCATTCTGTGGAGACCACAGCAGCCCACATGATCATAAGCGTCAGAAGGTGAGAGAGGCTTCCTGTGCCCTGAGCTGAAAATAGCACACACAGCTTCAAAGACGCGTGTCAGCACAGTTCAGGAGCCAAGTTGGTGTGTTCCACAAAGTGGGTCAGGGACTCAGTGACTGAGGAGGAGGAGAGGGCAGAAAGAAAACGAGCTGCGTCACTCCCAAGAGTGTGCTGGGGGCTGGAGGGCTGGCTCAGCATTAACAGTGCTGGTTGCTTGCCCAAAGGGCCCAGGCTTGGTTCCCAGCACCCATGGGGCAGTGCATGCCATATTAACCCTCTCCTGGCCACTCTGGACCAGCTTGCACACGGTACATGGAAATACACACAGGCCAAACACCATCCACACAAGCTAAAAATGAGTCCGCTTTAAAAGCAGAGGTGAGGGGCCAGTGAGATGGCTCAGCAGATGAGGGCGCTCGCCACCAAGCCTGATGAGCTGAGCTCCATCCCGGGAACCCACACGGTGGAGGGAGAGAAGTGACTCCCAGAAGATGACCTCTGACCTCCAAACTTGATGTGACACGCCTGCACATGTCTGTGCACACTTGCAAACACACACACACCAGCTAAATTCATTAGATAACATTAAAAAAAAAAAAAAAAGAGGCCACTGCAGGCAGTTGGTAGGTATCTGCACATTCCACATGAACATGCTGGATGGAATCCACCATGTCAGCAGTCAGGGCACCCGGCAGCAGCCCTCACGCCCAGCTGTAGCCGAGTTTGCTCCTTTATGGGCTCTTCTTCCTTCTGCCCTCGCAACCCCCTACCGCTAGATAGGAGAGGAAAAAGGGCAGAGAGAAGACTTCCTGCTGATGAGGGTGTGGAGTTCCTTGGGGCAACTTCGATCTTCGCCATCAAGATAATTTAATTTCCTCTTGTTTCTTCTTTGCCCACGACTACTTAACAAACAGCAGCCCACAGCCCAGCACACTGGGAGCCCTAACATACAAACCCTCTGAAAAGTTCCCAGAATTTCAAATGTCACACACTCACAGCTGGCAAAACCATTCCTGAGGCAAATCCGTCAGCTGCCTCAGAGCTCCCCACACCCCCACACTTGGGATTAAGATAAAAATATATTCTAATATTTCTGTCGTTTTAAAGCCAGACTTCCAGCGTTCTCACCACAGTGGCTTTGCTGAGCCTCGCTTTCTCACCATGCTTGCTGCTTCTCCAGCCATTGCCTTTTCGCTCTGCCAGGCTCCATGCCAGCGGCCCCTCCACGTAGCTAGCTCCCAGGTCTCCCAGTGGAGGGCATCTCCTGGACACTGCCCCTTCCCAGTCAGCACAGGAGCGCTCAGCTGAGAAGCAGCCCGCCATCCCGGAGCTGCCTACCTGACAAGGCTTTCTGCCCCAGTGGCCCTCACTGAAGGCCCGTCTTCGTCGTCCACTTTGGCTGGACCATCACAGCAGCTTTCTGCCCACTCTCTGTGGCTCCCTTCCCCCGTGTCTCCACATCCCAGCCCTCAGGGTTTTGCTTTGGTGTCAGCTTCCCACGAGGCTTCCCTGCCTTCCTATGCACACAGCATGGGCTCGCACAGCTCCCTGACCTGCCTCCGTCTGACATACTATGTATGTGCTGACATACATGAGTCTGTGACTCATCCCCCTTGTCCTTGTCACATATGTGAGATATCAGCATCAGGAATGCAGGGGTGTTTGCTCTGCTCGCAATGGGAGGTCCAGAAACTGGTAAACTGGGGTACCAGAGGGACATGCAGCCACACGCAAGAAGTATGGCACTTCAAGGAAGCTGTTAGCATCAGGCCTGAGCCTTGTTCTGCAAATGAGATGGACTCTGAATCTTGGAAGGACTAAGACGGTCCTTCCCCAGCTAGGGCCTCCAACCATCCAAAAGAACCCATCCTCCCCCTGGCGGCCATTTCTGACATTGCAGGTGCTTCACCAGGTTGCCTGAAGAAACCTATTTTTATATACGCACAATTTGGAGTTGTGTTTTTATCTCTTTAATTTTTTTTTTTTTTGTGGGGACAGGCTTTGGCTATGGAGCCAGTCTGGCCTTGAATTCACATGTATCCCAGGTTGGCCTTGAACTCATGCTGCTCCTTCCTTTGCCTCCCTAAGAGCTCGGGTTGCAGGCGTGTGCTACCTTGCTCACCTGTTTGTGTTCTGAGGGGGATCGATAGCACATACGTCTGCTGTCGCCTTCTTCCAGACACAGTGTCACCTGTCCGAGACCTGTCCCGGGTTCCTGATTTGTGGCTGGATGGCGTCCCGCAGACACGGAGTCCTTCTGCATGTGAGTGGGGTGACCTCAGAGAATACAGTCACCTCACACAGGCCTCAGCGCCGGACGCTGCTCTGGCCTTTTATTATCTGAATGCTTGTACTTATCAGTTTATGCTTTCGTTGATTAATCAAGTAGCTTACAGATACGATCTCACATCCTGAAGGCTCATTTTATAGCCAAGGATGACCTTGAATTTCTTTTTCTGTTCTTTCTTTCTTTGTTTTTCAAGACAGGGTTTCTCTGTGTAGCCCTGGCTATCTAGAACTCACTATGTAGACCAGGCTGGCCTCAAATTCAGAGATCGCCTGCCTCTGCCTCCGGAGTGCTGGGATTAAAAGCATGTGCCACCACCACCTGGCAGCCTTGAATTTCTGATCCTCCTGTCAACACACGCTTGAGTACCAAACCATCCAGTTTCTGGCCCCTATATTACAAAGGGGAAACTGAGGCCAGGAGGATGCGTCTCACTGCGGGTTACTCACTCTGCCTATCTGAGCCCGGGGGCTGGCCCCGGGCCTGGCTGGGTCATCTCCAGCAGCCCACCAGCCCTGGCTGCCCACAGCCCGCAGCCCCGCCTACCTGCGTGTAGCAGCGCAGCAGCAGCCCCTTCTCCTTCAGCAGGCGGATGAAGTAGTGGCAGATGGTTGGCTGAAAGGAGAAGAACACGTCCACAGGCCATCCCGGAGGGCCGGGATAATGCCAGGCATGTGCCCATTCTGACCCCTGGCCCCATTACAGGGGCATCCCCGCCTATCACAGATTCACGAAAGGGTGTGCTGGTGGCTTGGTGGCATCACCCAGTGGCAAATCGAAGAGTGAGGCTCACAGGCAGACTTTGGCTTCAGATCTTCCCGATGCTCTTGGCAGTACTGTCTTACCGCTGGGAAAGCAGAGGCTCAGAGCCACACAGTAAAGAGGGAGGGGCCAGGAGGGAGGCCGCCACCCAGGCCTCACCTGCTCCTCCTCCTTTCTTTTAATTTCTTTCTTTCTTTTTTTTTTTTTTTTTCAAGACAGAGTTTCTCTGTGTAGCTTGGCTGTCCTAGACTCGCTTTGTAGGCCAGGCTGGCCTTGAACTCAGAGATCCTGCTGCCTCTGCATCCCTGAGTGCTGGGATTACAGGCCTGCGCCACCCCAGACCCAGCCTTTTAATTTCTTAAAATTGTTTATTTTTGAGACGGGGTGGTCTCAAAAATTCTATGTGGTCCAAGAATTTCCTATGTAGAACAGACTGGCCTCACAGACATTCTCCTGCCTTTGCCTCCCAAATGCTACAATTATGGGCATGAACTATCACATCTGGCCAGAACTTATATGTTTCTTTCTTCTTTCTTTTAATATTATCTATCTATGTATCTTCCTTCTATCCATCCATCTATCTGTCTTCTGTCTATCTTCTATCACCTATCTCTCCATCCATCCATCCATCCATCCATCCATCCATCCATCCATCCATCTGTCTTCTATCTTCTATCACCTATCTACCCATCCCTCCATCCATCCATCCATCTTCTGTCTATCTTCTATCTATCACCTATCCAT